CACATAAATATTTTACATACTACATCTTTCTTTGTCTGTATTTATGTTACACTTTAAAATATGAATGAATGATACATACATTAAATATAAAGAAGGTCACCTCCACAAATTGGTCCTTTGTAGAGTGACCATTTCACTCGCCAAAGTCTACAATTCAACTCTTACTACACTCGTAAAAGAGAAAAGTGCCTCGTCTGTGAGAGTTGTGAAAAGGGCCATAAACGCTGTGAATTAGAACGCTCGGAATGCACAAGGTAAGAGAAGAATTAACTATGGATCACTGCAAACTGTGAAATGCGCTGGTTCTGTTTTTTAGCATTTTGAAAGGGGCCATATTACGCTGTTTTCTGATTTATGTTCTAATGTTGTTAACTCATCACAAACAGACCTGGAGTTGTGTTTTATTTCATTCACCCATGTTTTACACACAAATCCTGCATATTTAGGCATCTTTAGTATTTTTTTTCTCTCAAATCGAAAAGACGCCACATCTCCAAAGCTCAAAATGCTATGTTTCACCTTGTGATGTCATGTGGTAATACAGGAAGAGCTCCACTGTGTTTTTAAACTCCATACACCTTCACTAGAATCATCCCTGAAACTCAGTCTCTTCTGAACAAAAGGTGAAAGGTAGCTGTTAACTAAGCTACCACTACATGACATGACAAGGTGGAACAGAGTATTTTGATCTGAGATGTAGACAAACTAATAATAAAGAATGACTCAAACATGTATGAATGAAAGAAAACACAACTCTAGGTATGTTTTTGAGGAGGTGACAACATTCTAAAATGGCTAAAACCTCACCTGAGTCTATTTTGTGTATGGACCTTTAAGATGGTAAATAATGAGAGAGAGTTGTATATATTAGGATCCTGTATTGTATAGTGTGAATGCTGTCTGTGTGTTGTGTTTGTCTTTTGTTTTCTTTTTTTATGTAAATGCTATTTTTGTTCATGTATTTAGAACCCCCTCACAAATGAGATGTTACATCTCACGGGACTTCCCTTATAAATAAATCAAGTGCTTTGACGTAGACTTAAATTTACACAAACTTTATTGATCCACAAGGGAAAGTATTTGGACGCAATATCTCACACAGCATAATAAATATAATGATAAAGAGCAAAAATATAAATGGTAATCATAAATTCAAAAATAAGTAGCAAAAATAACAAGAGACTGGTGTCAAATAAGGCATCTTTACCTGACCCACCAATACAGCATGTTTCTATAATTCTTTAATTGTCTACTTATGTGAATGTGTCATCAGGTTTAAAAATCAGCCCAGACTGGAAAAAGTAATATGTAAGCAAATTTCACAAATTAAGATTTAACTCGATCTGAGTTGTCTTTTTGTTCTTAATTCAAACAACATGTTATTTATTTTCTTATTTTAAGTAAGAGATCTTCAGTGTAACTAGGTGTATTTGCCTATTTCATCTACAAAAAGACGTGTTCCATTAGCAGATCATTTTATTTGTCAAGTGAAATTTAGTCAAATCAAGTTAAAATTTTCTTTAAGGTGCAATGTGTAACTTTTTGGTAGAGGGTCCACCACTTTGTCTTCATGTTTTTTTTTTTTTTTGTTTTGTTTGTTTGTTTGTTTTTCCTGAAATGATCTACAGCATGACATTTAATTTACCTATCTCCATGGAGACAATCCAGCTATATCACTAGGCCAAGTTACACGTCAGATCTGTGGACCTGCTCACAATCATCAAATTAAAACGTCTGTATCTGAAGTTGTATTTGTTTGATGCCATATTGTGGAACATCCCAGGTAAAATAGTAACATCACCATGGAGACGAGCAGATGGCACAGCCTTCACCTGAAAACATACACAATGTGCATAGATGCACATTGCATAGATGTATAGATGACCTCACAATAATAGTTTTTGCTGTGAAGTCATCCAAAAATCCAAAATGAAGCTGTAAAGATTACAGTTGATGTTAAATTATGCAGCCTTTGTAACGCCTGGGGCCTCTCCTCAGCAGAGCCCCAGCAGACTCTGAAAGTCAGAAGTCATAATCCTCCCAGCCCTGTAAGCAAACTGGTTAATAATGTTATTGAAGTGAGTGCTTTTCTTCTCAGTGCTGTAATTATACTGCATTAGAGTACAAACTTTCCTAATAACAGGTTACAACCTTGTTTGTATAATTAATGCCTCATTAATGGCGAGTCTTTAAAACACTAGAAACCCATCTCTTTCTTCTGTTAAGTGGATTTTAATTGCGAGAATAAATAAATGATCGCTAGTGTTCAGGTGGAGTCTTTCCCTGAGGCGGCTAATTTCATGGCAAAGATATTCTGATGGTTTTCTCTATGTTAGCTGTGCATTTAGGCTGTGTTTTGATTCACTTGATTACACGTACTGGGGGGTTAAATTAGGATTTGGAGCGAGTGGGAGGAAGAGGAAGTGAGGAGACCCAGGGGAGTGCCAGATATATTTAAATATCTCTGAAACACAACTTCTGACATTTAGTTTTGAAACGATTTTAACAAAGCACAAAATCTCTTATTTAGGTTGATATCATCCCTGTGGTTTCTTATCTCATAAGGCTTTGGTGATTTTCACATTTTGAAACCACAACTTCAGCATTAGATCGCTTCAGCAAACTTTTCTCATCACAGGATTTTCTCTTTCTTGTGCAGAGTTTTATTGGTTGTAATTAAAAGTTGTTGGGATTGTGATTGTTGGGATGGTGATAGCAGTGGTAGTTGCAGCAGTAGCAGCAGCAGCAGAAGCAGTAGTGGTAATAGTTGTAGTTGTAGTAGAAGTAGCCAGTCCCGCCAACAGAAGTTTGGGGACCCGGGGCAGAAGCGTCAAATGGACCCCCTGTAATTTATATTAATAGGCAGAGGTTCCAATGTGGGGCCCTAAGACTCTGGGTAGTAAACCAATAGTAAGGAGTAGGAGTAGGAGTAAGAGTAACAGTAAGAGTAGGAGTAGGAGTAGTAAGTAGTAGTAAGTAGTAATAGTAGTAAGTAGGAGTAGTAAGTAGTAGTAGTAGAGTAGTAGTAGTAGTAGTAGTAGTAGTAGTAGTAGTAGTAGTAGTAGTAGTAGTAGTAGTAGTAGTAGTAGTAGTAGTAGTAGTAGTAGTAGTAGTAGTAGTAGTAGTAGTAGTAGTAGTAGTAGTAGTAGTAGTAGTAGTAGTAGTAGAAGAGTAGTAGTAGTAGTAGTAGTAGTAGTAGTAGTAGTAGTAGTAGTAGTAGTAGTAGTAGAAGGAGTAGTAGTAGTAGTAGTAGTAGTAGTAGTAGTAGTAGTAGTAGTAGTAGTAGTAGTAGTAGTAGTAGTAGGAGAGAGTAGTAGTAGTAGTAGTAGTAGTAGTAGTAGTAGAAGGAGGAGGAGTAGTAGTAGTAGTAGTAGAGAGTAGTAGTAGTAGAAGTAGTAGTAGAAGAGTAGAAGGAGCAGAAGTAGTAGTAGTAGTAGTAGTAGTAGTAGTAGGAGGAGGAGTAGGAGTAGTAGGAGGGAGTAGGAGGAGTAGGAGTAGTAGGAGGAGGAGGAGGAGGAGTAGTAGAAGAAGGAGGAGTAGAAGGAGTAGTAGGAGTAGAAGGAGTAGCAGAAGTAGTAGTAGTAGTTTGCAAAAGTCTGGCTTTGTAATGGACTTCAGCACTGTTAGTTTGATTTTTAACTATTAACTTTAACTATAAACAAAAATTAATATAGTCATGTTGCTTTGAAGCCTTAACTAAAGCTGTCTGCCATTTCAATTCACACTGCACTGTGATTGGTTAAAATCACTTGTCAATCACCCAGGGGTTGAAGGAAAAGGTCTCTGTATTTAAATATAGAGCTGCTCAAAACAGACAACCACAGATCCACAACATGACAACATCTCCAAAATAGCATATTGTCACAAGGATCTTCTGTGGACTGTGGTTTTATTTTTATCAGTGTATTGAGCCCAATATTGCAGTGTAGAAGTACTTAAAATAGCAGCAGGAATGTTCTTTTCTTGTACAAACCTTGATTGTAATAAAACAAGTTTGAAGTGGTGGCATCGTGGTATAGTGATATAACTGATAAATGTGGAAAATTTTAAATGTAATTTGTAAATGTGAAGTGTTAAAAGTAGTATTAATGGAATAGTGACACATAGTAGTGAAGTAGTAGTAGTAGTAGTAATAGTAGTAGTAGTAGCAGTAGTAGTAATAGTAATAGTAGTAGTAGTAGTAGTAGTAGTAGTAGTAGTAGTAGTAGTAGTGATAGTAGTAGTAGTAGTAGTGACAGTAGTAGTAGTAGTAGTAGCGACTGTAGTAGTAGTAGTAGTAAGTAGTAGTAGTAGTAGTAGTAGTAGTAGTAGTAGTAGTAGTAGTAGTAGTAGTAGTAGTAGTAGTAGTAGTAGTAGTAGTAGTAGTAGTAGTAGTAGCAGTAGTAGCGACTGCAGCAGTAGTAGTAGTAGTGACTGCAGCAGTAGTAGTAGTAGCGTAGTACTAGTAGTAGTAGCGGTAGTAGTAGTAGTACTAGTAGTAGTAGTAGTAGCGTACGACAGTAGTAGTAGTAGTAGTAGTAGTAGTAGCAGTAGTAGTAGTAGTAGTAGTAGCGACTGTAGTAGTAGTAGTAGCAGTAGTAGTAGTAGTAGTAGTAGTAGCAGTAGTAGCAGTAGTAGTAGTAGTAGTAGCAACAGTAGTAGCAGTAGTAGCAGTAGTAGTAGCAGTAGTAGTAGTAACAGTAGTAGCAGTAGCAGTAGTAGCAGTAGTAGTAGCAGTAGCAGTAGCAGTAGCAGTAGCAGTAGTAATAACAGTAGTACCAGTAGCAGTAGCAGTAGCAGTAGTAATAACAGTAGTACCAGTAGCAGTAGCAGTAGCAGTAGTAATAACAGTAGTAGCAGTAGCAGTAGTAGTAGTATTATATAGTGCAGGGGTTTTAAACATTAGGATATTGCAGAGGAATAAACCAACAACACTTTTCTTTATATTTTGACTTGTCTTTTTACTTTTTACTGCACCACTAAAGTACATCCACACTAACAGATATTTTCTCTCTCCTTAGACTCCCAAATGTTGGACAGGTCGATTCCTCATGAACCTCTGGGCCATCTTCTGCTTACTGGTGCTGTCGAGCTACACTGCAAACCTGGCCGCAGTCATGGTGGGGGAGAAAACCTTCGAACAAGTCTCTGGTATCCACGACGACAAGGTTAGGACCCTCACAAGGACATGAGACCACTTTGTGCATGTCATTGTCGCCATGAGCATATTGACACATAGCCTACTGTAGAGACAAGGACGAACTAATGAGCCAAGACTTGAACTGTTTGTGAAGGATTATGGGTCCTATATATGGGCCTATAGCAAGGTCAAGGCACGTTGAATTTCACATGAGTGCTTTATAAAGGCGTCTCTGAACCCTACACTGTATCTATTGTCCATGATGTGTCCTGTGTCATTGGGTGTCAACTTGTAGCCTAGGTACTATGTGCATATATTAGTTGTGCTTTTCTAGTACTAGATTTAGAAAAGTTGAGTTTATTCATGATTTGGAACAATTGCCAGTGGTGTAGTCCAAAGGCATACTTAATTTAGACTTGGTTTAGTCCTGATTTAATCCCTGGTAAAATTATTGTGTTGTGTTTTGTGATTTAACATAGTTTATCTGCAGTGGTTTAGTCCAATTTTGACCTGCTTTATATTTGTCTTAGTCCACATTTAATCCTGGTTTAGTCCCTGTTTATTCATGGTATAGAACAGATTCCTAAATAAAATTAAGTGTAATTCACTTGGTTTAAACAACTTTCACTTAGATAAACTCCAAGTTTGGTTTACTGGTTTACTGATTTGTGATGTGTAGTCCAGGTTTAGTCCAGTTTGGGACCTTACCATATTTTTTGGACTATATGTCGCACCGGACTATAAGTCAGACTTTTTGGGGGAAATTTATTTTATAAAATCAGAGTTCAGGAACCAACATTTCACCTTGAAAGGCAAGTTATAATAATAACAATAGAACAGAGAACAACAGACTGTTAAAGTCACATACGAACAGTTCTTCAGATAACTATAGTATAAACAACAGAACAGAACAAGTTTACCAAACTCTCTATCGAATTTGGTAAATCTCTATTGAATTCTTCATTCTCGGTGTCACTTCTGAGCAACTCCTCGACCTCCAGAGGTAAACAGAGCACCGTTTCCTCTCCTGCGTAGCTGTTGTCAGAAGTTTCTCACTCATTCCAGACTTTCTTTCTGCTGCTCGATTACCATTTTCGGCTGCATATGTCACTACTTGCAGCAGGACAACAGCTTTTTCTGCAGGAGACACGCAGAAAACTGACACACAACAAGCCTGCAGCGCCCTCTCATGGATGTCAGTCTGAAAATTTTAATATATAAGTCACACAGGAATGTAAGTCGCAGGACCACCCAAACCATGAAAAAAGTACAACTTATTTTCAGAAAAATATGGTATATTTATATATTTCATGTTTTAGTTCTGGTCCAGACCTGGAATAGTCCTGTTTCAAGTTTCTCTGGTTATGTTCACACAACACATCAACACTGGGACTAAACTAAGACTAATATCAGAACTAAACCTTGACTAAATCAGGACTAGAACGGGACCTAATAGAGTGTAATTGCTGCTTTTGATATATTCATGCTATAGTCCAGGTCTTGACTCGTTTTTTGAGGCCAATACTTCATACATTCACATTTCAGGGTTCCACTTCTGCTTTTGACTTGCTTTAAGCCTATTTTCCTCTTTTTTTGGATGTATTTAGTAAAACATTTTCCTGTATCTCTGTCCCAGTTGCAGCACCCCTCCCTGGGCTTTCGCTTCGGGACAGTGAGGGAGAGCAGCGCTGAGGACTACATGAAAAAGAGCTTCCCCGAAATGCACGACTACATGAGGCGCTTCAACCAGCCCACTACCCCGGAGGGCGTGCATATGCTAAAGTAAGCCATGCACACACACATACACACACACATACACACACACATACACACACACACACACACACAGTTACTATCTACAGAAAGGTCACATTTGTATAGAAGACGTGATTACAGGATCCAATCAGGGCTACAGCTGCGATGTGATCAGCAAGACATAAGCCTATTGTAATCTGTAGTGTTATAAAATATACAGTATAGGTTCTCATACATAGCTGCAATGAAAAACAGAAATATGCAGCTTGATTGCTAAAATATATTTAGAGAACTATTAGAAATCAAAGGCAGACTGTTGTCTAGTTTGCTCTTTAACTGCTGCTTCGAAAAATTCTACTCATCAAGAGTACATGGAGGTTAAGCGGTAAACCTCTCTGAGTGAATACATAGACGAATCATTTCTAATTCTCTAATCCTCTACTACAGGGCCAACATTAAAAACTGGGACTAAGACGTGGGTCAAACAAAATATTTATTGAAAAATTTCAGTAACATTTGCATGTTTTCTCTTCTTTCGAGATAAGTAATGTTAAACCTTTTCTTATTAAAATAAATGTTTAATAATAGTTTTGCTTAAATATTGAATCCAGAACAAGTATAATATAAAACAATAACAAAAAAAATGGAAATAAATAATGTTGCCTATCTGTAGCCAGTGGGCCAGCTCTAATACATATTTGATACGATCTTGCAGGCCAAATATAATTATATTGCGGGCCAAATTTGGCCCCTGGGCCTGAGTTTGACATGTCTGATCTACTATCACATAATTATTTTACTATTACTGCTGTGCTGACGCAAATAGAGTACTTCTCTTATTGCAACCACTAGCACTACATCAAAACAAACGCTTCTGTTGCTACTTTTACTATGTGCAGACCAATATCAAAATATTGAAATACCTTTAGTGATGAGGTATTAAAAACTATATGATTCTTATGCAAAAAATCAAATGTTCATATTTTTGAATACTATCTGTATACATTGTGTATATTATTTATTTTAGTATATCTGCCCATTTCAGCAGACTGGAACAAAACTCACTGGCATTATTCATCTCTAAACTAGACTTATATTTTCTTTACATTTTTTAATTTGGGTAAAAGAATTGTGTACTTTGGCTCTTTGGGTTCACAGTTGTCCTGGTTTGGTCTTGGTTTGATCCTGGTTTACTCCTGATCTAGACTTGGGTTTGGTCCTGTTCTAGTTCTCGTTTAGTCCTAGTCTAGGATATGGCATTTGAGAATATGGAAACATTGTTACTTTGTCTGTCTTACACATGTTACGTAATTTTTTATTGAGTTAAAGATCATATATTTTTAAACAGCTTGTGTGCAGGTCCGAAGGGGCACAGAAAGACAATTACATATAATAAATGAATCTTCCAAAGCTGAATTTTAAATTACTGTTGCAACTCCCAACAAGACTCCTGGAGCAAGCATTTGTGGTTGATCTATGACTGCATTGTAAATAATGAAACATCCACTATAGACACTGGAGATCTGGTGGTTTTGAGTCAATATTGGCTTTAAACCTCAACCCCTCAGCTCCTACTGTTGGGCCAGTGTGCTGTATGAAGTAAAAATACAGGCAGTTGGCAAAGGTGTGTACCAACTCATGCAGTACCCTATAGTAAATAATGTGGCCACAGGGGGCAGCCATTGTTATCAGATCAGCACAAGTGGACTGTGAAAAGCTAACAATAAATCTCATAGGAACTGTATCTATGTTTGCAGGTGTGAGGGCAACTGTGAAATACAATGAATACACCAAGGAACATGTGTAGTGGCAGAGTGGTTAGCCTCTAAAAAGCCTGTACCTCAGTGTTTGCCATGTATTTGAGCAACTTTTGGCTTGCGAAGTATAGATATATTGAGATCAAAATAAGTCCACTGCGTACTGTCGGCATCTAATAATTAAGAGTTTTGCTGTGCAGGTATCAGGAAGTGTACGGTTTGGATGATAGTTGTTCTTAGCATGATGGTGACACTCCCCTCTGGCTTCCGAAAATTGGGAAAAGCGTTTATAAACTCAATACAGTGATTTAATTAGGGTGATTGAAATGCATAAGGTAAATGAAAATGAATTGGCAACTCTAAGTCAATAATTGATGTGAGATATGATAAAGGAATTTAGTAACTATTACTATTAAAATATGAAAATACTTTCAATTTATATTCAAACTAACAAGCAAATGTTAAAGGCCCCATATTACGCTGTTTTTGTTGATCTGTTGTTGTTGATCGAGTTGTCTTTTGTTTCATTCACACATGTTTAACACACAAACTCTGCATATTTAGGCTGAGTTCTGTGTCACCTTGTGTTGTCATGAGGTTATACTGGAAGTGCTCCACTGTGTTTTTAAACTCCATTCACATTCACTCGAATCATTTGGATATTTTCAGCTCTGGAATTACCAATCTCTACTTATGGCCTGTTTACACGAGAAAGCTTGCAGGTAAAAATGACAAAATATTTTATCGGAAATGCCTTTCGTTTGGATGGTGACGGCGTTTTTGGGCTTAAAAACGCAAAAATCTGAAACCATCCTCCAGAGTGGAAAACTTGAATACACTCCGCCATAGCGTGTCCGTCTACACTGCCCAAGACGCAAAACTCTGGTCAGATCTGCTCACGTCACGTACATGTTTACGTCACATACATCACCACCTAACGTCACCACCTAGCCGCCTAGTATGCAAACCCAATCAAATTCCACACACTTTTGTGTCGTCTAAACTCAGAATAAAAAGTGAAGATGCAATGCCACTTTTGCATCTTCTGTTCAGACCGTCATCATATACTGTAAACCAGGGGTCTCCAACCTTTTTGTGTGAGCTACTTTTACAAAACAAAATGCCAGAGAGCTACTCATGTTAGCAGTTGCAAGAAATTGAGTATATAAAAGAGCCACAACCTTAAATGGGATATAGTTAGATGCATATAAAATGTAAACCATTTATTATTACACAAAGTTGGGCATAAAAAATATACATTTAATTAACCAAAATGTTGTTTTTCAACACAATGCATATAATTCAGAAATCTCTTGGCAAGCTACTTGGAATGGGTTGGAGAGATACTGGTAGCTCCCGAACTTTAGGTTGGAGACCCTTTCTGTAAGCGCAGCCTTAACTTAATGAAGAAAGGTAGCTGGTACATCTTCCTCTTGACATCACAAGGTGCAACAGAGCATTTTGAGCTTTGGAGATGTAAACAGACTAATAATAAAGAGTTACTCAAACAAGTGAAACACAATACAACTCCAGGTATGTTTTTGAGGAGTTAACATTATAACATGACTTAAAGCTCACAAGAATCAATTGTGCATAGTATTTTAATATTTAATCTACATTGTCCGTAATAAATGAAAAGGCTGGTGGTCACTGTCTCTATATTTAAGAAATTAAACGGCATGAACCAGTGATTATCCTCTCTCACGTCTCCTTAAGACTCGATAAGTGGTTGGAAATTATTATTTACTGCAAATTGGGGTAAAAGGTCTTTCCAAAGCTATCATTAAGCTGTTGTTGTTTACCTTAGCAAAGTCTAAAATTAAATTAAACTGCCTTTTAGCCTGTAGTAATTTTTGCTTAAGTGCAGATTTTCCCTCCTATTTTAATCAACAGTGATGCTTATGATGCAGCCCTGTGGTGAAGGCTTTCTTGTTATAGAGAACAAACAGTTTACTTTAGCGGAGATAGCATCGCATCAGTTAGTACGCCGCTTGCATTTCTCATCCTAAATTTGCATGTAGTTTCCACTTTATCCTAAAATATTTATGTCGGAGGTTTATATGAGGCGAAGTCGATATTAAACCATTTAGATTAGAGAAGTCATTTAGATTTGTTTTGTTTCGTTGTTTTTTTAAAAAGTGATTCAACGGAAAAAGATCAGGGACAAACTGATCAAATGAATGGAAGACAACAGGAGATAGACAAGACCAAACCTATTATGTTTAAATGCAATTAGAAATAACAAAAAAAAAAGAAAAAAATGGCCGAAAGTTGCTGAGTAAAATAAATGAATTATTCAACTTTGGGTTCATTCAAAGGGCAAGGACACAAACTGAGATTAAACTGATTTAAAGGTAGTGCGGGCAGGTTTTTATGTAGTATTTTAACACAGTGAACCAACGAATCTGGGACACATCTTTGCCACCAACCATTTCGGCTATGACTAACTTCTCAATAGTGATTTGAGGATGATAATGGAAAAGTACACTTAAATCAACCACTATCCACCGGCATAAAGTGACCAATGGACTATATATTCAAATCTAAAACATAGCACATTATATTTGGACTACTTTCGAGAGTGTGGAAATCACACTGGCTTAAATAAGGAAATAATAGCACCATATTTTTCGAACTATAAGTCGCTCCGGAGTATAAGTAGCACCAGCCAAAAAATGTGTAATGAAGAAGAAAAAAACATGCCAGTCGCACTTTTAGGGGGAAATTTATTTTATAAAATCAGAGACCAGGAACCGACATTTCTTCTTGAAAAGCAATTTATAGTAATAACAACAGAACAGAGAAGAACAGGCTGTTAACGTCACATATGAACAGTTCTTCAGATAACTATAGTATAAACAACAGAACAAGTTTTCCAAACTCTCCAACTCACTCCAAATCACTAAATCCACTGAATTCTTCATCCTCAGAGTCATTTCTGAGCAACTCCGCGAGCTCCAGAGGTAAACTGAGCACTGCTTCCTCTTCTGCATAGCTGTGGTCAGACTCAGCATCAGTTCCAGTTAGAATTATTCCGGCCTTTCTGAATCCCAACAGGATGGTTTTGGTTGTCACTGAAGTCCAGACTGTCGATCCATCCAGTGACTTCCAGGGAAGTTGCGTGGTGCACCCTCCCGGTTGTCACAAGTTTCTCGCTCAATCCAAACTTTCTTTCTGCTGGTCGATTACTGTTTTCATATTTTGCTACTTGCAGCTTGTAATCTGCAAAATATGATTTTCTTTTTGGTTGCATCTGTGTTCATTTTTCTC